GGATTAGATGTAAAACAAATTTATGTCAACGTAACCTTTCGACAAAGCAAACGCCTTCACTTGTATTTTATGCAAGATCTCGTTAATGTCTTCTTGTATTGTGCTTTTGTTATCATGATACTCGTAAATAGGAAAATATTTGTTTTTTTTCTCCACAGTCCTGATTTGTTGACCTTGATTTTTCCTGCTGATTTTTTTTTATACCTATCTGTGGTATATGAGAACCTAATATAGTTTTTGCCTTGTCCGTCCATGTATCTGTCCGCAGAAACTTTAACCTTGTCTATAACTTTTGAATTGTTCGAACTATGGCTTTCTTATTTCACATATGTATCCCATGTGACAAGACTTTTCTTTTGGTACCACCAAATTTGACCGCTTGACCTTGGAGTTTGACCCACTTCATGAAAAGTTTCCAAGCTTTACCCATAGCCATAACTTTTGAATAGTTGATGCTAGGGCTGCCATACTTCATATGTGTATTTACTTTGACAAAACCTTTCATCGGGTATAGAAATATTTGACCTTTTGACCTTGACTCTTTATAGTTTGGCCAGCTTTTAATAAATTTTAAGCTTGACCAAAACTTTTTAACAGGTAGTACTAGGGTTTTCATATTTTACAGGTGTATTCCTTGTGTCAGACCTTCCTTTGGGTACCAGCAATTTTGACCTAGACCTTGGAGTTAAACTTGCAACTTAGAAATTTCAATCCTAATCATAAGCTGCCATACGGGGGCATCAGTGTTTCACAAACACATCTTCAAGTGTTTTCTGTATATTTTGTGATCTTTCGATAAAAATATGATAAAAACTGTTTAATTGCCAATTTTTCTTCGACAGCCTTCAAACTCCCACTGTGTAAAGAATAAAGGTTTCTGGTATACATGTATTTAGACTCGCGATCAAATTCTTGATTATGTCCGTTTGACAATCTAATTCATTATTCAAGAAATAGAGAAAACATACATTGTGCAAAATTATTGATGTAGAATTCATGTATATTAATTTGATAAAACATGATATTTGAAGAAAATGAAGACAGACATGCATTTTAAACTCCAACTACTTTAAAAATAAATATTTTTCTTTCACTTTTTGATGTACATGAAATATAGATGTAGTGAAATATAATTAACGATTATTGCTTTCTTGGCCTATACTTATGGAATAACACAATATGAGGATACATAAAAGCACATGAAGTATCCCAACACCAGGGAGATGCTTTATATGTAACACATGGTTATTCAGCTTCTCTCTACTTCCTTATGATAAATCTTAACTTTCACGGGACCCTGCTTCACTACTGGAAATATATTTACAGGCGCAAGGGTAGTGGGAGGGTTGAATAAGAAATCGAAAAGTCCCTGCGTAGTTGCTGGTGGCGGAAGGGTCGGGCACGCGTACCACTTGTACACCCCCTTCTGAATGTACCAGTAGTCACACTCCTGGGTGATGAAGGGACCGGGGCTGGCGGTGGTGGTTCGTGGTGGCTTGGTGGTTGGTCGCCGAGTGGGTCTTGTCACAGGTTGGGGTGGTAAAGGACATGGAAACCATCTGTATACGCCCCCGCGATCAATGTACCAGGAGTTACAAGGAACTTGCGGTGCTGGCGTTCCAGATTTACCTTCAGATTCCATTTCCGGTGGTTCCGGTGTGGTTGTAGTGGTTGTGGTGGTGGTGGTGGTAGGTTTTGGTTTAGTGGTTTGTGGCTGCAGAGGAACTTGATAAACTGGCGGAGGATAGTACTGGGGTTGGTAAAACTGAGGAGGGTAATGCATTTGCGGCATCATATACCTTGGTTGAGGTTGTACAACGGGATATTGGGGTTTCATGAGAAGTTGCCTTGGCGGCGATTGTGGTGCTGGTTTTTGAATCGGTTTTTGAGAAGTTTGATTACTTGTTTTCTTTGTTTTGGTTTGCTGCTTTTGTTGCAAGGGAAGAGGCTGGTACTGTATTGGTGGGTGTGGAAAAGGGTGGAGAAACTGTGGATATGGAGGACGTACAACTGCAACTTGAGGCTGAATTGCAGGTTGCATGGGTTTCACTTGTGGTGCTTGCTTCTTTGAAGGTTGCTTTTTGGTATTCTGTTGCGGTGTTTTCTGTTGCTGAGGACGCTGCCTTTGTTGTGGTGGATGGTACTGGTATGGTGGAGGGTGGAAGTACTGGGGCTGCGCCACCTGGCGGAATTGTGGAGGGTGGAACTGTTGTGCGTGTAACACCGGCTGGTGTTGCTGGTTTGGTTGCCGTGACCAGCGTTGCGGTTGGGGACCTTGTTGTTGTCGTTGTTGCTGATTCGCCCGCTTAGGTTGCACTAAAACAAAAAAAATATATGATATTGTTTATGGATAGGTAACGTTTGATAATAGTTCAATCCCACCTTTTTAAAACTTTTCTTCTTTATCTAATCTATCTACATGTAGTTAGTTCTACATGCGAGAATGCATAAATTGATATGTTTTGCTGAATGTAAAATTATTAAGTTTGTTCAAATTACAAGATTTTTTTTTTCATTTGGTTTTAAAACATATCTGAACGTTTTAACCTAACCCCAGACAAGAGAGAAATTGTATAGGATCATTTTCTTTTTAAAACATTCAGCTTTGAAGCATACAGAAATATTCTCGTTATCAAGTGTTCTCGTCGCCAGATTTTGAATGTTCATCCTATTGCTAGATGTACTTCCCTGGGCACTTGGACCAAGGGACGTGCTAGATTCCACAATTTTGGTTAAAGGCTAATGATCATTATACCCATGCAAATAGTTTGCCTGTTTTTTTTTGCTTTCAAGAGGTAAGAGAAAGACTTTCAAATGTGAAATAAATTCGTAATGTATGATAAGGAAAAACACAAAGTACATTTGCCCAAATCCTGATCTTTCACAGGTAAAGTGCTGACTCGATATGCATTGGAAATCTCCGATATTCAACCCCTGTAACACTCAAAACCACGGAGCGGCGGAAGACAGCAATTAAAGAATTGTTTTTAGCTCAATTTAATAAATAACAATTAACATAATAGTATTTAAAATTGCAGAAATATAACAATTGTACGTTTAGAATTAATTTTTATTTTTTCATTTCACAATAATTATTCAAGCTATCTATCTTTCCAAGTCAAAAATCCTTACGACTATTAATTAAACCTGTCCAGTTCTTAGGAATACATGCACATACATGGAATTGTTTTTGCATATCGTAGGTGGAATGAGCGCCTACCTGATCCGACAACGGGCAGTATTCTATTTGTCGTCATGGCCAGGTGCTGTTATTCGACCGACGACATTAAAATATGAATTCCCTTTCAACGCTTAAATGAATATTCATACAGAAAAAGAAAGAACAAAAACAGAATACTAAATGCTCATCCTGGATCCTCTTTTCAGAAAGCAACTGTTACAACTACCAGAAAAGTGAACCGCGACACGAGGAGGCTCTTGTAAAAATATAGAAAGGGAAAGTTTAATCGAAGAATAGGGTCAAATAAGGAGAGGAAAATGCCCCTGTTCAAAAATTTAGCGAAAAAATGTTTTAGTCTTAACAAAAGTTTCTTTGGTACGTCAGTTACATTTAACATAAATGTAAAATACTGTATGTTACAATTTCTCTTTTTGCTTTTGATCTGATATGAAGACAATTTGTCCAATTTATGCAACTAGCATGCTCGAACCATAAAGCGTAAAACTTACCATTGTCCATTTAATAAGACGATTTTGATAGAAGAGAATGTTTTTGAAAGTAAATATATATTAAAAGAAGCATATATTGTTTTAAAAAATTGTCTACCATAATACTTCATCCACAATATCTCAAAGAATACAATTTGATTTTTTCTTTCAAGAAATGATTGAATTCCAGTTATTTAGGGGTCATATACCAACAAGATTTCGACTTGGGTGGTTTGTACACTGTAAGTCTCAAAGGAAAACCTCATAGCAATAGTATTCAATCCCCACCAGACTTGTCTTTTAAAATCATAGCGCAGCTTTTGCAAAATTATGTTTAGTAGAAAATTGTTTTGACATAAGACTGATAATGATAAGAACTTCATCATAAATACATATACTTTATTCATTTTACTCACGAAGCTAAACGTCTTTTCCCACACGTTTTTCCAACCATGTTACTAGTACAATATGATCAGTTTATCATGAATAAAAGGCATAAACCAAAAAACCCAGCAATTTATGTCAGAATCTTCAAAGACCCATCATTTGCCAAGCAATTCTTTTTACGCCTTTGTCAAATTAATTCACGACAATCGGCTATCTAATCCAGTAAAAAATACTGACAATAAGACACGTGACAAAAAAAAATATGAATGTATGGATCGGTATAATTTTTCGGAGTTGTTTTGGTTTCACATGATGCATATATATTATGTTCAAAATTAAGAAATTGTAAACTTTCTATGATAGTGAAATTTTGAAATTTCGTCCTGTTCGTCATAGCCTGTACTGATCTAAACAATGTTCTTCTATCTCTTTATAGGATATATATAAAAAAAAAACGTGGAATGAAAAATGAAATTGAAAAATTATTTTATACGGCTATTTCTTCTTACCCATGAAAACAAAAATGAAGTTGCAATTTCATTATTTTCGTCAATTTATATATTTATGTCTTGTGCAATTGCTAACATACCAAAGAAATACCAGGTCTTTAATGATTTTTATTATAAATGAAGTAATACATATATTATATGTGTATAAAAACAACTACATGTATAACTGGCGTTCTTTTTGTCCTTCTGGAGACGTAACCTTCACCATTGAAGATATCACCCAATGACTCACAATATTTATTGAGATCTACCTCCGTTTCAGTGTTTCAGACTTAGATCCTTCATTGTTAAACAGAGACACTGAGTGGCTGAATTAAAGATGGCGGTATAAATGATTCAAATTTTAATCGTGTTTCTCTTCAGACACTAGCACTTGACACAGTAAGGAATATGAAGGCTTTGACAAAAAGGTAGAGGACTACAATACGTTTTTCTTTACTTTGCCTTTTCCACCTCTTTGTACGTAATGTCAACTTTAACAGGTGCTGGTTTCCACAAAGAACTCAGATCAAGATGTTGAGTAATATGGCGATTAGTATGTGAATTAAAACGTGGAAGAGGTGGCTTAGTCGGAATTGGCGGTTGTGTAGGAGCACCGAAGAAAAGGTAGTCGAAAAATCCCATTACCGAATGGGTTGTCGTTGGAGGCCGAGTTGTAGAACATGCGTACCACTTATACACTCCATTTTCTATATACCAGTAATCACAATTTGGAGAATGGTATTGTATTGGAGCAGGTGTTGTAGTTTTAGTCGTGGTCGTAGTGATTCGTGGAGTGGTAGTTACCACTTGTTTGACGGTAGGTGGTGGACCAGTCTTTGGCAACTCACAGGGGAACCATTTTAGTACCCCTCGATCTACAGTAAAGTAATTGCACTGAGGATTTGCCGGTGGTAACGTAGTTTGAGTGTGCATGTGTGTTTGTTGTTGTATTGGCGGCTCTCGTTGAGCCTGTGGTTGTATCTGAGGTTGTTGTGAAGGCCTGAACTGTTGCTGAACCTGAGCGATCGGCCTATACTGTGGTTCTGTTGGAGGTTGTTGTGATGGCAGAAAATGTGGTTTTTGATGTACTTGAGCTGGAGGTTGCTGAGGCGTGGGGATTCGCATATATTGTGGATGCACCGGGGGTTGTTGTGAGGGCTGAAAATATGGTTGTTGATGTACTTGAGCTGGAGGCTGCTGAGCCTGGGGAATTGGAATATACTGTGGTTGCGGATGAGGTTGTTGTGATGGCAGAAACTGTTGCTGTATTTGAGCTGGAGGTTGCTGAGGCTTGGGGATTGGCATATATTGTGGATGCGGCTGAGGTTGTTGTGATGGCAGAAACTGTGGCTGTTGTTGAGCGGGAGGTAGCTGTACATACACTGTTTGTGGATGTACTGGAGCTTGTGGTACAGGGTAATAATATGGGTATTGTTGCTGCATTTGTGGCATTGGAACACTTTGTTGCTTTGGTTGTGATGTTGTCGTGTGACCTTTTGATTTGATTTCTGTTTCTCTTTCAATTTCTGGTGCAGTGGTGGTAGTAGTTGTGGTGGTTGTGGTTGTTTTGGCTTTAGTCGTCTGTGGTTGTCCAGGTGCTTGATACATCGGCTGATAGTGAATTGGTTGTGGATGATACATAGGGGGAGGATATTGCTGGGGTAATCCATACTGTGGATGGGATTGGCTCATCATATGCTGTGGTGGTGCAACATATTGCTGGAACTGTTGCATCATTGGCTGCTGTGGTGCAACATAATGCGGTTGAGATTGTTGTATTTGCTGATTTTGGGGTATTTGTAACTGTTGTTGTGATGGCGGAACATAATGAGGTTGTGGCTGGGGTATTGGATGTTGCGGCGGTGCAACATATTGAGGTCGGGTAGGGGTTTGTTTTGGTTGGGACTGGGGGGATGGTTTGGTAGTCTTCTGCTTTTTATGTTTTCTTTTTCGTTTCTTTTGATTTTTTATTTGCTGTGTCGGAGATACTTTGCTTTGAGGCAAAGGAGGCTGTTGGAATTGTGGTTGTTGGTATGTTATTTGAGAGGGAGAGAATTGAGGTTGAGGTGGTGGGTGAAATTGCTGAGGAAAGACCTGATGCGGGGGTTGCTGATTTTGCGGGGCTTGGAAAGACGGTTGAGGTGGTGGATGGAAAAGTTGTTGTGGTTGTGCTTGATGTACACGTGGGTGTTGAGCTGAAAAAAAGAACACAAGTAAAATCATTTGGAAATATAAAAGTCAGTTTCATGGTCAAAGAGATAAATTTGAAATAGTGAAATGGTAACAAAATAGTCTTAAATTTCATCATTGTATCTTTATGAATGTCTCCTCCTCAAATAACTAATCACATGTAAAATGCAACTACAGCATGTTATCTAGTCGTTTTAAATTTATGAAAAGTTTAACTTTAGATTGTATCCCCTTGCAAGCACCTCTCTTAGATTATGAAATATGATCTAAAAAGCTTAGATTGCTTCATTGACAAAAATAACACTTCTTTCCTAAATAAGTTTTCCTAAACAAGCAGAAATCGATGGTGTTTATTTGAATATTAGTACCTGCAACTGAAATTAATTTTAATAATGTCAACAGCAGGTCACATTATTAGATTGCAAGTTTTGCATTCCCTATAAATAAAGTCCAAAAACATTCCTCTGCGAGATTGTAGAGTGCCTTTAAAAAATGTAAGGTGAGCTAGCGTTGTAGGTATTTCTAGTGAATGCATTATACACAGAAGTAGATATCTAAACAATTGTTAGGGAAGCTTAGAAACAATACTATAAGTTCTAATTGTATTTTATGCAATTTAAAAACATTTTTATTTGAGTACGTATTACTGGTATCAGAAAACCCAATACATATGTTACCAATATCTTTAATATTTTATGCCCCTTTATTCGAAGACTCGGGGTATATAGTTTTTGTCCTGTGTTGTCTGTCAGGTTGTTTGTCCGCAAAAACGTGGCTGTAACTTTTAATTGTATGGAGATTTGGCTTTCATATTTCATATGTTTATTACTTGGGAAATACCAACGTATTTGATCTCCTGACCTTGGAGTTTGACCAGCTTTAACAAAAATTACCTATCTTCGCCTTGACTTCTGAACAGTCGAAGCTAGGATTTTCACACTTCAGATATGTACTCATTGTGACAGGACCATCCCTTGGGTATAAATATTTTTTACGTTTTCACCTTTACCTATGACCTACTTTGAAAACCTTTAACCTTGGTCATAACGTTCAAATAGTTAGCACAAGGAATTTCATCTTTCACTTGCGTAAGCTATGACTGTTACAAGACTTTGACCCCCTTGGAGTTTAACCTATTTTTGAAAAAAAAGTTTCACTTGGCCATACATGTATATTTGTACAGTTGTAGCTAAGGACTTCATATCTTAAACATGTTAAACATGCATTTTTCTTATGAAAAGGCCTTCCCATGAGAACATAAAGTTTCACCATTTTTCCTTAATCTAGGAGTTGGATCAACAAAAACAATTATAAATATGGCCATATCTTTTGAACGCTTAGTTCCCAAAACTTCAAACTATAGAGATGCATTTAATAGTAACAACATGTCTCTGGACTTCGACCTTTGAGTTTGACTTGTATTAAAGAAACAAATCTTCGCTATACGCTGCCATATCCGGGGCATAAAAATTTTACAAACACATCTTGTTTGGTCGTGGATTAACTGTATGGAATGGACTATAATCCTTATTCATATTTATTTATTTTTGTTTATTTTTTATGTTCAGAACATAAAAAGTTCTCATTGTTTTCCCCGATTTCTTAAAGTTTTACATGTAACTTCGATTACAAAATTGAGAAAATTACCGCACAACAGTACTTTAAGTACGTTTCTTGAATTGTATTGAACATAAAGACACTCTTGTATGTTAAATATGTTCGCCCTTTATGCAAATTATCCCACGTTTCCAACTTTCGTTGATGCCCTCGCATACTCTACTAACTAGACAATTCCTTAAATATCCCTCTATTTATTTTAATGTTCATGAAAATTCGGGTTTTCATGGATGCCTAAGTAACACGTTCGAGGTTCTTTTCCAAAAAAAACTCAGAAAGTTGCTAGCGCTCAAAATCAAATTTTGATATTACAAATTTATTAATTATATTACAAATTTAAAAGATCAACGATTCTAAAGAAGACAAAGATGCTCATTAGTATGTGTTTTTGCGTTTGTGCTTGTATAGTGTTAAATATCCAGTATTTGAGGGTTAAAGAGTTGAAAATTACTACTGGCATATATATTACACCTAGAAGGAAAATCTGTCAAGGACAAAGCTGCAGAACTGTAGCTCTTCGAAAAAAAGATAACATGTATATTGACAGAGCTGAGAGTTACAGTCCCACCCATTAAAAACCGTATATTTATTGCGCACAAAAAAGTGCGCGCTCGGTTCTTGATTTTTCTATCTCAGTGTTTTTAAAACTGTCATCTCAAAATATTACTATTCGTGTGTTCCTAACATATTCTTTCATTGTTTCCACAACAAAACATTTTGTATAATTGTTTTTTTAATAGCCCTCCTGGTCCTGAAATGGAGACCATCGAAAATTTCGCCTATTTATACTGCCATTTTGGTTTGCTAGATAAATCGGTCCAACGTGCTTCGTACAGATTTAAACTACGAGAGTAATTGATGGAGGAGTAAGGACGTTTTTTGAAATCTAGCTTCTTTGCAATTGAGGTAAGAATTTGGAAGAATTAATCAAGAACCGAGGGCACATTTTTGTGCGCAATAAGTATACAGTTTTTTCAATGGGTGGCACTGTAGCTCTCCGGGTATACTTTTTCGGAGAGCTACATTTCTGCAGCTATCAAGGACACGAATTGGTTTTCATATTTTCAACACTTTCTGTGCTATGTGAGAAGTGTATTTTTTCTTTGAATGAAAATTAATACATGTAATGTTACACACTTCTTCATTTCAATCATGGCGGGTAATGTTGTGTACCTTGATACACGTTATCTTGTCCTTTAATTTTTGCATTTTATTACTTAAAAAGAGAGTCACGTATCCTCAAAACTTAATGAAAGCATTGGATTTCTGCCTTAAAGAAAACAAACATCTCCTTTCAAAAAGGGAAACTGGTAATTTATGCCACCATACTCGTATCCTTTATTCCTTTCATTGTTCTTGTTAAAGGATGGCTAGAAATGTCTTCATTTTGATTAAAAATCAATGAAAAATATCAACAACATCACATACATGAACATTTCTAATCTACAAGAGTGTCACTATGTGTATACTGCTTCTTCTTACCTTGATCTGTCGAGAAGGCAGCACGGAGATGCTGAGGGGGCGGATGTCCCTGGGCTTGAAGTGTGGGTGGTACCGTGTGGTACACGAATGTAGGGTGAGTCGCTTTAGGAGGAGGCTTATTTCGTCGTCTGCCTGGTGCTCCCCATGGTTTAGGGGGTGGGTTGCTTGGTTGTGGATTCACTTGAACAAACTGAGGTTTTGGTACTTTGCTTGTCGGTAAAAGATTGAGTTGATTGCGTATGAATATCCGGTCTCTTGCCTTTACTCGGGGAACGATCTGAATATTCTTTGATTTGGGATAATTCAAGTATTGACTGTTTCCATGGATACTAAAGGACGGGGCAGGACTTGGGGCTAAAGGCTTATGCGCCGAAAATTGTCTACCACGTTGCTTAGCAGACAACGAAGCATTTGGTTTATCCGAAATAGGGCGTAAAAACTTAGCACTACTTTTGCCTGAGATAAAGTTCTTGATTTGCGTGGATAATGAAGGTAGACTAGGGAAATTCCATTCACCGATAAAATCCACATTTGGCCTACCTTTTTTAGCCGCGTCTACTGCGACTAGAATTGATAGCAGCAGAACAAGCCCTCGTGTCATCATGTTGACAGGGACCTAAACGGAAAAGAGAAAACAATGCATTCAATGTACAAGACTATCTGTAGCTCAAGTTACAAGTAATTATATTTTCTTTAACTAAAATGCTTCATTTTACACTTAGAAATAGAAATACAGCTGTTAAGGTTTGGTCATTGTGTAGGTTATATTTTTTAATACTAATTTTTAAGAACGATACATATCATCTACATGGAAATGATTTTGCTATTGTAGCTTTTGAAGTAGTTTCGCCTACTAACTTTGCCAGAAAAGCTGTATAAGGATTTCTAACAGTGAAAATTTACATTGACATTACGCATTTATTATTGTTTGGTGGTCAAAGAACAGTAAAAACATTTCTTCTCAAATTAATTTCTTTCAAAAAAATGTTTATTAAATCCTTCTCGAGAATTTTTTTTCACTCATACACCATTTGCCGGTGGAGAACTTCAAATTTTGTCCTTTACTCGTCACTTAGGGCCATGAAGCAATGAGGGATCTTTTTCGTGCCAGCACCTACTGTGACATGTGACATGAGTTTATACGGTCCCATCCGAAGGACAGCTCACCATATTATACAATGGGATTCGAACCGGCGACCTAAGAATCACCAACTTACTGCGCGACTCGAGCGCAGATGCTGTTACCACTGCGCCACGCGGGCGACGTTACGATGTGTAGTAAAAAGAAATTTTTCTATGATTTTATTTTGATAGACAGATCAATGAAATATGTCATATCTGGTCCAGACATTAGCAGTCATTTTCCTGATTTTTGCGTCTGTTTTGGGCCACGTAAAATTTGGTTTCAAAACACTATCTCGTTAATCACAAACTTGCTTTTATTATCCAAACCAAATAAACTGATTTTTTTCTTTTTTCAAAACTAAGATTCCTACCTTTTTCTGCGGCTACAAGTATGTCCAAGCTAAGTCAGTAAGTATCAAACATTGAGACGCTTTAAGGGTTCACTGAAAAACCTCGGACAATAAAGAGATCACTAGGCTCAATCAGTGATTGACGGCCATAACACGCCAACGGACCATAAACCGGGACAAAACCAGATCAGGGGGATAAAAATAAACCAATGACTGATCAATAATAAAAGGCAAGTAGTTGTAAACGGCACAGTTTAATGATGTAAAATATTAAATAAACAAAAAAAATTAATAGCATTCAACGTATCGATGCATCAAATGCTAATTTCTCAATTCTCAAAAAGAAAAAAAAGAAGCTGGTTTTGGATTTAATATCGATTCTTTGCAATTGGTATTTTGTCAAATCTACGTGAAAGTTATTTTCAAATCAAGGTACATGTACCAAGTACCTGATCTCCCAATGAATCAAAGATTAGGGGCTACATGACTTATAGTTTTTGCCCTGTCCGTATGTCTGTTTGTCCTCAAAAACCTTAACCTTGACCCTAACGTTTAGTACTCTGGCTTTTATATTTCACATGCGTATCCCTTGTGACAAGACCTTTTTTGGGTACCAACCATATTGACCTCTTGACCATGGAGTTTGATTCATTTTTGCAAAGAATTACAAAACCTTTTGAAGAGGTATGATTTACTAGGAGTTTCATACTTAATATATGTATTTATTGTGACATGACTTTTCCAATGGTACACAAATTTTTGAACTTTTGACCTTGTCCTTTGAGTTCGGCCAATTTTTCAAACTTTAACCTTGGTCGTAACGTTGAACAGTCAGAACTAACGCTTACAATTGAATGTGACAAGACCTTTGTTTGGATACAAGGAATTTTGACCTTTGGACCTTGATCTTGGAATTTGACCTTCTTTTGAAAAACTTTAATTTTGGCCATAGTATTTGGAAAGTTCGTGTTAGGGCTTTTATATTTTACCTTACTTGGCACCATTAAGTATGACCCTTGTCCTTGGAGTTTGGCTCTTTTTATTTCATATCTAACCTTGGCTACAGTGCCGCTCATTGAAAAAAGTATTATACATTTATTGCGCACTAAAAAAGTTTCTCGATTAATTCCACCCTACTATCTGTTTTATCACGCTCTTCTTGGGATCAAATGCAGCATACTGTAGGTCTTTAATTTTTTTTTTTCTGATTTTCTAATTAGTAGAAACATAAAGAACAAAAATGCAAAGTAAAAATGAGAAATTTATTACCATTTCGGTCGAGGCTATCTGGTACCGCTTGCACGGTGTATCCCTCCAAATTCGTATGGATACGATTTTCACGTTTTCTATGAAATGGTCACGCTTCGGTTAACATTGTAGTTATTTATCAATTAAGACATTTAAATGCTTTATTTTTTGTTTATGTAGAATAATAATATATCAAATACATCATAAACAAGTTTTGAAAAGTAAAATATAACTTTCGTTTGGTGGTGCGTTAGCATACGTAAAAATCCCCAAATTATTTTTGATCATGCACAACATTTCATGTGGCATGTATACAATACAGTAATCATATACAAATGGCATATTTGCTTTGGAATAAATCACTTCAGCTTCAGTTTGATATAGACTAGAGAAAATGCATCATGTTGAATTTTCATGTGTTTTAGATATATGCAGGAAATATTCGATAAAAGGACGGCTGGACTGTCTTTCCTCTTTTATGAATTTGAACCCGCGTAACGTTGGCGATGATGTGTACGAGGGCTGTTCAAAAATTACGCGGACTGTGCTATTATTTACTCTTACAGACGTCATATAGTTATGAAATTTCACAGAAAATTGTATGTTAAAGATTCCAATAAATTTAGGGCAAAATTTCTGTTTTTTTTAAATTCTACTAAAATTATCGGTATGTTGATATCGCTGATGGAGAGGTACGGAGCACGACAAAAAACTTGAAGCAAAAGCATGCGGAATTCAAAATTTTACTCATTAATATTCTATAATTCGCGATATTTTTCGACGTTCTATTAATTATTATTAATTTAGATTTCTGACGTGATATTTGAAGTACTAACAGAAATATAGTGATTTTTCTCCGATGCGATTCCCGTGAAAACGACTGTGAAAATGACGTCTCCTGATTTGACGGCGCACCACATTTTGTTAAACTAGTGCTAATTGTAACGGGAATTGTTCTCCCCATTTTTGGTGCCATATTCCCTATTCATTAAATAAGACAGCCCCTTTAGATTTTAACAACATTAACAAAGAAGTGTACAAAAATCATTTAAACTTTAGCATTGCACGATATTTGAAGTATCATAACAGAAATTATATTTAATCCAAAATTATTTAAAAAAAATACGTGATTTTTCTGCACGCATGCGATTCCATACGTGAAAACGACTGTGAAAATGACTGTTTAAAGTTTCTCAGATTGCAGCACATGTACACGCACGTTTGATTTGCATGGTGACCATACCTACTTGTAGAAGTCCATTATATCCATGTTCCAAATTTCCTGTTTGGTTGAAATTATAGCTGTTTAAAGTTTCAGCCAATCAGAGATATGCACGTGTTTTCATGATAATTGCTTTATTTCACCTAATGCATGATGTTCAAAATTTCAAAGGATTTCGTCAAAAAACAAGAAAGATATCCATCAATGCAAGCGCGTGACATGTATGTCAAACTAATATATCCCCACATTATGAGTTTCAAAGCATTTCATTTAAAAATAGAACAGTTGACTATTATATTGGTCATTTCACGTGTTGCACGTGCACGCTCTTGCAAGCACGTGCGCACAAAATGACCTTGATTCCGCAAATCTACATAACATGTCTACTAACCCTAAAAAGGTTTTACCTATCGGACGAACAGTTTACAAGATCATTCCCGGACAAAAAAGTTCCAGGAAGAAGAAGAAGAAGAAAAATAATAATAATAATAAGAAACAGAGTAAAAACAATAAAACTTTATCCGGACCCAAAATATCCATAATAAGACATGTAAAACTAGATTCGCATTCGTCCACAAATAGCAAATTGAAATTTTAGATCGTAAGATCTATGTAAAAAGGCTATACGGGGGGACAATATTTATCACAAAAGAGCGCGTGATATCACCAATATCACACTATATCTCATAAATACCTGCAATGTTTGGTTTTAAAACAAAAAAAGAATGTTCTTTACTTGTTTAATAGATTCTAAGCTTGACAAGAAATGGTGTTTGGATGTTGAGTAGATAAGGTAACTAAAACTGTACAGGTACTCTTGGGAAAATATTGAGAAAATGAAAGCTCAATCACATATTTTTTATAATGCCTGTGACGTCGAAGATTTTGCTGCTCCGTGACTTAGTGATATGTCCTGAAACCAATTTACCAAATTTTGATATCAAATTTTGAAGACCATATAAGCAAAGATTCTTTTGTATTATGTGTGACATTTTGCCCGATTATGTCGTCAAATATTTTTTTCTGTGCAACAAGTCCGCGTAATTTTTGAACGGCCCTCGTATATTGCATTTGATCTCGGTTACTTAATTCCTTTGATGTGGTGACAATGTGACGTAGTATTTAAACTTCTCGATGAGCAAAGCGTCAGCACGTCACGAACAGTGAAATCCTTAAGATGTCACAAAAGCTCCGAAGAATCCTCACCCACTACTCAAAGACCTTGTGTAAAGGTCTTATTTGGTATACGAGGACGTTTCTGTTTGAGTGAAATATTCTTAAATGCGTGGGACGTAAAACAGCATAAAATCAATCACCAAGCAGATAAAGTACATACGTGCTCCCTTTCAAAATCGCCTCTCGATCTCTTTACTTGTGATCTATGCTTTGTGAAACAAAAGCTGTTGTTTATTTACATGTACTATTTTTCAAGAACGAGTTTTAATTCATACATTGTTAGTTAATGCTCTGATATTATTTCAGGTCCTTTTTTGATACTGATTGAGACACTAACCAAGATTCTTTCCCTATTACGACCGTCTAATTACGCGTGCTGTTGGGGTATTTAATGCTTGCGCAGGTGTATCTGTGGTCATTGCTAAGTATCCCGTGTGTCAGAGAGACAGTCGAGAGTGGGTCATTGCATGAAATTTGTGTAAT